GAGGCCAGTTCACCTAACTACATGTCTTTGAACTGCAGGAGTAGAACTATGCAAAAGGGGAGAACTTGCACCTCAACACACACAGAGCATGAGGAGGCTTAAGGTCAGGGTTTCCTCCCAGGTAAGCCGGGGGATTGTGTTTCCAAACATAAACTGGCATTACATAGAAATTTGCCAGCGTGTCGCAAATAGATTTGCTACCACTATCAGTCTCTCGCACACCTGCCCTTCCATTGCTAGTGTGCCATTCACTGTGCTTATTAAATCAATAGTCCTTGACTGATAAAAGTAATTGTGCCAACTCTCTTTAACCGATATTTGCATCACAGCTAACCATAGATTTCTGCCAAGAATCAGTCTGCTTGCACACAACTGGCTCTCAGCATGTACACACTTCAGGGCAAGACTTTCCGCAGGGGGTAACTATGCTATGTGTTCTGGCAGCAGGCTTACTTGAGGTTACTGAATAGTGACATGGGAGAGAAGCAACTTTTGATGTGGCTGTAATTTTAGAATCGTGGGGCCGGCAGACTAACACTACTATTGGGCCCTTGGGCAAGGTTCTTAACCCCCAATTGATCTTGGGCCACCGAATCAAAGGCTGACCCTGTACTCTCCCATATATATGTGTGCCCTTCTCTTTGCTATCATTTTGCGGCACTTCACTGTTTTTTTTTCACTTACAAAGGAGGACGAGATGGGATATGTGAGAAGAAGCATTCCAGAGTATCTGTGCTCATGCTTGTACAAACAGAAGATAATGCATCATCCATCCATCTTCTGAAACCGTTTAATCCCAACTGGGGTCACAGGGGTGACCAGAGCCTATCCCAAGAACAATAGGCACAGGCGGGAACCGACCTTGGGCAGTTGCCAACACAGCACAGGGTGCACACACTCACTCAACTACAGCGCCAATTTAGACTCACCAATCAACATATTCTGCACGCTTTTGGACCGTGGGAGGAAACCAGAGCCCCCGGCAAAAACCCACACGAACACGGGGAGAGCTTGCAAACTCCACACAGAAAGAACCCAGGACCTTGCTAACCACTGTGTCACCATGCTATATAATGCATCATTTAGTTTTTCATTTCTAAAAAGATGCCTCCAAGTTGACTGTAGGTGGCAACATGAACAGGCAGATTCTGGGTGCTGTTTGCAGGACTTAAATTCCCAATGAAGAACTTAAAAAAACACATTCATCCACCTATAGAAAGACCTACTGGTCCATATCAAAGTAAATTGCCCTATTTCCACTGACATCTCATGAAACATTGTTAATGTACCCCAATTAAATGCCTGCAATCAACCTAAGATCCTATATCCATAGCTGTCCTCTTGATTATACTGCAAGCATAAATCATCAAAATCCTTGACAGCTGGGAACCCACAATCATTCTCACAAAAAATTTCTGTAAACTAAAAATGTAACCATATTTTAACCTCTACATTACTTTGAAATACACAAAATTGCATCATTATGCTTTGCCAGTAGAGGATGTGTTTTATAGCTAAACTTTTATACAGATCCTCAATGGATGGAACATTGCATTGCTAAATTACAGACATTACATTCATTAAGAAAAACATGATCATGACATTTGCATGTGTATTGAAGTAGTAAAAATCTCTGCAGCCGCCATAATGATATTAAAGTTTAAAAACAAAACTTATACAACACACATTTTTTTAATAGCAAATGATGATGATGATAATGATGATTGTGATTATTGTTGTTGTTATTCCATAACCATCACACGCAAAAAAATTACAACCTTCACATCTGCCAGGAGCCATCTGTCATGCTCCTATATGGCCAGCAGAGGTCACTGCTGGCCCTTCCATTCTCATCTGTTTTTGTGTCTATTGGAATCACTTGCCTCTTTTTTGCCCTTTGTTAATCCCGGTATATTAGTGATTGCCTGTCATTTATGCCCCAGTGCGGTCATTGACATCATTCTTCCTATTGTCTGTCCCCTACCCTGTGCTACTGTTCCCGTTTTGACCCCTTGTTTCCCTGCTCCAGTTTGTTTCATGTAATAAAGCCCCTTTTAGTTCGCTCCCACAAGTTGTTCCTTTTCTCGTGTCATGTCATTGCCCTCATTAGTGTGAGTGTAACAATATAACCTACTTTGAACCTGAATCTTAAATGCATCTTTTCTTTTTTTCACTGTTTACTTCTGCGTAGATTTTTTGGAGGCATTGAAAATCACATCACATCTGCATTGCCTTCGGAAGGTTAGGGTTAGTATGGGCGACAGTTGCCGTCCGGAATTTATTTGTCAGACACTAGTCAGTTCTCTGAAGAAGTGTCTGATAAGAAGTTGTGGAGACAAGGAAGCAGCAAGGTCAGTACATGGAATAGATTAGTCTAAATCAGAGGTTTCATTCCGGTCCTCGGGTATTCACAGCTGGTCCATGTTTTTGCTCCCTCTGAGCTTCCTTATATCCTCTAGGTCAGGGGTGACCAATCTTATCCGCAAAGGGCCGGTGTGTATGCAGGTTTTTGGGATAACCTGTAGGTCAGCTGTTCAAACCCAGGTGTGAGGACTCTTTAGCCAATCAGTCCTCTAATTAGTAATCTAATTATGGAGTTGCAGCGAAAACCCGCATACACACCGGCCCTTTGCGGATAAGATTGCCCTCCCCTGACCTAGACATTGTGCTTGCATGAAGTAAGATGGTGTAGGGAACAACTAAAACAACCATCACAATGGGGATTCATTTGTGTGGTTTACAGTACTTTTTCAAAAAAATGTATTGAATTACTGTAAACTTATGGTTGGACATTTCTTTGAAATTCCACCTGTAGTAAGTCGGTGATCACATCTGGCAACCACTACAACCTTTGATGTGAGAGAAATTTGTTTGTGTGGTTTACAGTAATTTTCCAAAAACGTATTGAATTACTGTACACTTGTCATTGGATATTGATGTGAAATTCCACCTGTAGTAAGTCAATGATCACTTCTGGAAGCTACTACAACCTTTGAAGTGGGAGAAATTCATTTGTGTGGTTTACAGTAATTTTCCAAAAAAATGTATTGAATTACTGTAAACTCATGGTTGGATATTTCTGTAAAATTACACTTGTAGTAAGTGAGTCATCACCTCTGGCAACTACTATAACCTTTGAAGTGTAACAAATTGGTTTAGTATGAATGTTGAAATTATTGCAACTTCTCAGATTTTTGTGTTAGAAAATCAGCAGAAATGCTCCAGTAGCAATGCTTGCTTCCCCTGTTCATACCGAATGCACTTTGTAGACGGTCCCTAGCAAAAAGCTGCGTTTCCAATGCTGGCTCATCCGTTTCGTGGAAAATGCCCCATCACTACAATAAAGAATGAACATATCAATCACTATACAATGTTGTAGTACAATCTGTATTTTCTCCTGAAACATAAAGTGTTACTTTAGTGATATTTGGTGGCATTGTTTCTAACATATAGGGGAGGGAAATCTGAATATCAAACGAATTTCGAATATAAAATCAACTTCACCACGCTCGTCGACAACCGTTCCTCTTCCGCACCTTAAGAGGACCTAGTACCCCTTCCAGAGGATCTACCTGGCCGGGGCACCCCACACCCAGCGACTCACACAGCCAAACTCCCCTCTCCGGGGACAGCCAGTGCGTGTGGCTGCTGGAGACTTGCGGCGGTGCGGCCCCCTTCTGGCCCTGGCACTTCTGTCTACCCCACTTAGAGGGACTGTGATGTTGTGCAACAGGCAGGTCCCGCCGCAGGGCCTCCTGCTCGCAGGACCGGAGGGCCCTGCACAGCTGCTCCTGCTCCTGCTCCAGGTGGGGATGGCCTCTCGCAGGCGTGTCAAGCGGACCTCCTCCTCGCGCCGCTCGCTAATTTCCTTCATGTGTTGGGCCTCCACCTACAGCAGCTCGCGGCGTTTCTGGGCCAGCTGGGATTCTAAGCCGCGACACGCCTCATCCTGGCTGAGCAGCACCCTCTTGCGGCCATGCAACACCGCCTCAGCCAAGCGCTTCTGGTGGTCGCAGTCCTTCTCCCAGCTGGCCAACTCACCGCGCAGTGGCTCCACCTCTTGCCGCTCCTGCTCCACGGACTCCCGCAGCCGCTCCCCGTTTTGATGGCTCGTCAAGCTCGCATCGCTCTTTAGCGAGCTGGGCCTCCCAGCTGCGGCGCACATCTTCCCACTCCAACAGAGCAGCCTCTGCAGCCTGAGTTGCGCCGTGGCTTTTCGTCACTGACGAGCAGGGAGCCCTTGACGGCCGGTGAGCGGCTGGAATCCGCTGTGGTGCCTCGCCCTCCTTGGTTGCTGACTTCTTTCCTGCAGAGGTTCTGGTGGGCAGGCAAGAGCGGCTTCAGGGAGCGCTGTGCAGGTCCGGTGTGTCCTGGACGGAACGGAGGATGCCTTCCTTTCCCCGGTGTCCCCTGCTCGTCTGCCGGAGGCTCTGGTGCGAGCTTCCGGACAGTAACGTGCCCGGTGCCCTCCTCTCCTGCAGCACCAGCAGACGATTGTATAATATATATAATATGATGTTTTCAGGATATTCTCTTTGTGCACTGTGTACCTTTTTTGCACTACATTTACTTTGGTTTTGGCGCATTGTCTGCTTGGTACTAAATGTAGATTTGCCTGTACTATGTTGTGCTGCGTATGTTATACCTGCCGTATTCACCAGAATTTCCTGCTGCGATGAATAAAGTCCGTCATAACCTATAACACAAACATATTGCTGCCCTCTTTTGGACTTTTTGCAAACATGCCAAAACGTTTTTGTGTGGAAAACATAGCACATAGAAAGGATCCCACATCCAGGTGACTTGATTACTCCTATTCCTGCCTTTAGTGAATGAGCTAAGCCAGAGTGAGGAAGGCTCAGGAATGGCTCAGTTATTGTCTAAATGTGCTGCTTGTGTTTATTTATGGCAGCATATGTGTGGGAAAATGTAGCATAGGGCTCAAAAGCACCAAAATGGACACTTTCTGGTCTTATAAATAAATGTTCAACACAAAACACTTGTGGAACATCTTTCATAATTTATTTGGGTGTAGATGATCAAGTTCCAGATGTGCTCTGATCTACAGTTTCTGCAAATCAATCTGCACAAAAACTTGAACATTGAAGGTTAAAGGCCATTTTAGACATATTAAGAAATAACAAAAAAATTGAGAAAAAAATGAGGGCTGGTGATCAGAACGTCACGTTCAAATCCTGTGTAGTAATCATTATCAGTAATACAACTGAAATACGCTAGAAGAACTTATAAGACCATGCTGCAAGCAGAATTAACACATTTATTCTTGGCTGAGTTTTTAGTGAGAATGACATTTCCTGATGAGAAAAAGATGATGAGCCATCTGCAATAATACAATGAAAACTGCACGCAAAACAATGAAGAATTTAGTGCTCATCCACTGAGCATTTGAACTGGATCTTTCACACTCACACTGTTAGTAAGTGTATACTGATATCATTTTGAATTTTTTTTCTATTGTCAAACTTCTTTTTTAAGTGTATGAAGGCATTGTGCTACTGCTCTATGTTTTATTTAATATCACTAAGATTTTTTGTAAAATAAATTTGGTTCAAAGGATTACAAATGTGGGTCGTGACATGATTGTAACTGGATTGTGACACAAGACTTAATATGAGTCTTGAGGCTAAACCACTTGAGAACCAGTGATTTGGCTGATCTGTGCATCATGTTTGGCTGAAATTCTGAATATAGAGAAAATCTTCATCATCACAGTTCAGTTGTCCATAGCGACTATAGAAATGCATGCACATACCTGAAACAATGTACAGCACATATACTGTAGATACAAAGTGGAAAATGTTTTACACAAGCTGTTATTTAAATGAACTATAAATTCAGGTTTTTAGGATACTTAAGGTTGTCATCATACATACTAAGCACAACTTGAAACATTATTTCTGTATTATTAAACTCGATTATTAAAATATGTTATAGATTTGAATAACTAAGTAATAGAAATTCACACACCCCAAGGACTTTTTGAAGTGTGCCACCATCGACTGATAATGTAAAGAATAATGTGACTAATGTGTTTTGATTAATAGAATAATGTGTTTTGGGTTGGCAGATGAGGCCATCGTGCATCTTTCCTTTGACACTGGTTACTTTCTTAGTGTGACACTGGGGTTTTCACCAGCGTCTCTTATGTTGTCTTAATAGGTCCACTTTTGTCAGTCAGACATATCTAATGACTGCAAGCTGCTGCAGCCTGTGACGGACCATTCAGGGCCATTTGACTGGAAACACGGCAAGTCAGTCAGTGGCTTTGAGATGTACTGGAGTGGAGGAAACGGAGCATTTTGTGTTTCTCATATAAAAATTTTTTTTCTAGGTGCCATTTCTTGAATGAGACACTCATTTCAAAATGGACCAAAGACTTTGTAACTGCACAACAATCACTGCTACTCAATATATCACCTAAATGGACTTTCTCCATCTGCTTTCAGTAACTGCCAATAACATTAAAGTTAATGCAGTGACTCTTTACAGTTTTTACAGAAATCTACCAAATGATACAGATCTGGTCCAAATGGATCTATCAAAGTGATTGAAGTCTGACCCCTGCCCTCCCCCCATCCATTTAATTGAGTTGCATGTCTTTGTTTGGTGGGAAATGCATTATTTTCTGACAGCTCCCAGGTTCTTCGTTTATGATGCCGAGGTCACTATCCCATTTGTTCCAGTTGATTTCTTCCACACTAAAATGACAAAATGAAATATGTCATATTCCACATACTGCCCCGCACTTTCACTGGTGTGAAAACAGATGCAAGGTCTATTGCTATCCATCTGGTGGAGTTTTAGCAGTGGAGACCTCAAAATACATGAATTACTGTGACTGTATGCTATACAAGTATAAAAATGAAACGGATTTTGTTTGTAAGAACATGACTGCCCATTTCTAGTTGTCTGTTAGTGAAGCTTCCTAGATTGTGGCTTCATTTTAATTGTCAAGTCTAAATGGCTACATCCACGTTGGTGGTTCACCTGAAGCACCAACGCTTGTCTGTCTCAGGCTTCCTGCCCAGGTCTTTCTCCATCCCAGAACGCAGTCTTTTCCTCAGACAGGAGGGTAAAGTCCTCTCCAGGTCCAGGATGGTGATTGCTCTCTGCGGAGACAAGTCCATTATGTCCACTGGCCCACCACAACTTATGCCAGTTTTATGCTTACGGTCATCAGATCAGCATAGTAGTATATGAAGAGGATTAGTGAGTCATCTGTCATTGGGTTATGGTGCCTTTGCTTACCTGAAGCTTCCAGATGTTTAAGCTCTCTTCAGAGAGCTTCTCCACAGTCCTGTTCATCAGGGCAATGAGCATGTTGAGCAGCAGGATGTAGGTAAAAACAATGTAGGAGATGAGCAGCACGTAGAAAACCTCTTTGTACTTGTAGTTCTCGGTGAACTCCAAGTCACCCATTCCTATGGTAAATTTGAAGAGCTCCAGAGTGGTGAAAGAGAGGCTTTTAAAGGTGGGTTTCTTACAGTCAGCAGATCCATTTATTGAGGTAAAAAGGGACCTTGATGTGCTATTGCGGCGAGGTTTAGGTGGTGGGGGCTCATCCAGCAGCGTCACCACAGCTGATATAGATATAGTTATTATGTGTTATTAGTCAGCAACCAATCCTTATGTCCATTTTAAAAGTTAGACTTTAGGTAAAATGCCCTACAGAACACAGCTCTGTAAGTTGTGTGCTACAGTAATGAATACCACAGAAAATTTATAACTGGTATATAAGTTGCGAAAGCATTATGGAAGTATTACTTAGGGCTACTTCATACAAGGTTGTTGCTAGAGAACCAAGATAATAGATGAAGAAAGAGACAGATACCTGCTGAAAATCCAAAAAGGTAGACAATGTAGACAAACAGAAAGCGCAAAACGTCACTGAGGATCATCTGACGAGATGAGAGAGACGTAAAAGTGACTGATGAAATCAAAAGTGCTACAAAGATATGACTCTTCAATGAACCACTTAGGCCACTCTGAGATGTACCTTCTGCATGATGACTGTGTAGATCCCAATATGTCTGGAACCTCGGGAGAAGTAGAGCAGATTGATCCAGCTGAGGGCAAGACAGATCACCAGGAAGCCCAAGTATTCCTGCCTTTTACAGCAGTACAGGACTGCCGAGATGATGAAGAGGATGGCCTGTACGAAACTAGGAGCAGAGCACTTCATCTCTTAGAATCTTGATGAGAAAATACGGCAAGTTTATGGTACGTAATTCCAACTTTTGATTTGTTACATACTCCCAAACTCATCTCACTGATGATTCTGCCCAGCCCGTAGCAGCCAGACCATGATGCCAATGCAACTTGCTTAAAGCTCACAAATCTACTGACAACTCACAAAAGTATCTCGCTGTACCCATCCACCAGCAGAGTCTGCAGATTCGGGCGCTTTCTCTTCAGTTCTGATAACTTTACATGAGAAAGATCTATGTCATAAACACATTCAATATGTAAAAACTCATAGGCTTTGTATGTTTTGGAAATGAGCTGATTCAAAGGCAGCATGTCCCGGACTAAAACTGCAACTACCATGTTTTCATGTCTGTGTCTGTCTCCATATTGTCGCTGCATGCAGTGAGAGGGATGGGCAGGTTGTGTTCAGAGAAGGAGAGGGGCGGGGCAGGGTGGAGTTGTGCGAGAGGCAGACACGGAGAGGAGAAACAGGCGAATTGGCAGTGTTCTAACATTTCATCCTACCTACTGAAACGTCCTACCTTTGGGTACTGTGCATGCGCACAACAAAATCATGCCCCTTTTCTTGTGCTTGAAGAGCCGCCCATCGATCTATCCTACCTTGCATTGGAGTTACAGCTGAGTCTTACATAATTAATCTTATTTGTGCATTTTTCAATGTTCATATATTTTTAATATTTCATTAAATATCACACTTCACCATCAGATCAAATTACCTGACATGAGTTTTGTAGGCTACATACCGTGTCATTATTGCTCTGATGACAGCACATCCCTATAAAGTATTTTACTCTATCCAAATTTGGCTACCCATGTATTTTATGATGGTAGGATGCCCTGATAAAGTATTTCAGTCTGTCGAAATGTACTACCTGTAGTTCTAACACTAGTAATACAATCTGTGTTTTTTTTTTTATTAGTTATTTATTTATTAGACCGTCTGCTTTCAGTTTCAACCTGTATAAATGATGGTAGCATTTTTTAGTCGGGTAGCACTGTTCAATAGATATATCTGTTGAAACGGGCTACAGAAGAACAACTAGACAGAGTAGGACAAATCCACAGAGCATGTGCATTACAAGTGTAATTTTAAAGCAACATAAACTTTTTTGATATAGGATGAGACAATATCATTTATATCTCGTATGAAAATATACTGATATATCTTAAAAACTCGATATATCGCCCAGCCCTAATACTGAGCATGTGGGGTGTATGCGGGGATGTGTAGAGGGCACCCAGGTGGAAGCCTTATGGCATAAAACCACTAATACAAATGTCCACACATATCCTGCTTATCCACAAACTAGTTTATCAGCTCATTTCCAATTCAGACTCAGCCATACATTTTACAGGGATTTTTGCATGTTATTTCATGGAAATTGAAAAATATGCCTGACGTACCCCTTTAAAAAAGAAATAAAGAGCTCCAATGCAACAGGTCACTTGGCCAGTGAGGTAGACATAATCCATATCAGTATTTTCCTTGGAAAATGATGACTGCTGCAATACACATATTGTTACAATTTTTGGTAGCATATCATTTAGCCTTTTTGAGGATGTTGCGTGCCTTAAGATGCTTTTAAGCTTATAGGGGAAATTATTTTAAATGTCATGTAAGAAACAGATATTGGTCTGTGGATGTTCTGCTCTGGACACTTATTGAGCAGCCCAGGAGCAATCTGGGTAAAGCCTTCTGCCATTCAGACAGAATGAGACTAATGATAAATAAATGTTAGAAGTGCCTATCAATTCAGTACGAGAGGAATCACTCAACACCTTACCAGCTTCATCCTCGTGTTATAAGCAACTGTGGTGAAGACCCCTAAGTAAACAAGGTAGATGAGGAATTTGAAGAGAAATAGCCATCGAGCGAACTTTTCCCATTTGTCATTAAGCAACCTGCAGAGAGGCTCCAGCTGAAGCATCTCCAGGCGATTCTGAAACCATAAGATCATGTGAGATGAATGACTGAAGATATGCTGAAGGTCAATCACTTCGTGAAGAAAATTATGGATAAGCTATGGATAAGAGTAGGGACCAATTATCTTGTCACATCTGTGGGTCCTTCTGCAAGGCCCTTAACCCCCAGCTCCCTGGGAGCCACAACAAGTGGCTGCCCTTCGTGGCCAGCTTGCTCTCACCTACAGAGAGCAAGTTGGGGGAGGCGTAAAGAGAATTTCTCCATGTGGAGCAATAAACTATCAATTATTATTATTATTATTATTATCACTGTGCATAATAAAAAGACATTTTTCACCCACATACTGGAATCAAACTTCCGTAGACAATGATATCCAGGACAGAGTTGGCCTCGAAGGAGTCCAATGAGGTCAAATCATAGAGGGATGACTGGACTGGACCATATGCCCATTCTACGAACTTGCGGGATAGGTGGACACTGTGCTTATCATCAAACCTGCGGCGTATCATGTGCTGAAACAGCTGAAAACAAAGGTGAAGAACCTGAGAAGATAAGGCCACAGATTCCTTCTTTCTCTAGTTCTTTGAGATGGATGGATGGATGGATGGATGGATGGGTGGATGGGTGGGTGGGTGGACAGACAGCTTTGGCCATCCTCACTGGTTATGCAGTCAAGAAGAATGGATTGTTTAGATATTGAAAGTTATGTTGTGCAGACATGAAGAGACACACTCGAGGACAAAAATAAACAGAAATAGAAAAAACACTTACCTTGATTTTGCCTGTCTTGGCCACCAGTTTGAGTGGCGTCAACTTTTGATGGTTCTCAGTGTCCTCTAGCTTGGTCTCTGGGTGAAGCATTGCTGATATAGTGAGGATATGATCATACATCCTTACGATAAACTCAGTGTTCTCTTTGTCTGCGACCAGGACCAGAGCATGTAGCACTGTGTTGCCCTGGGAATCCGTCTTCATGATGTCCACCTTCTGGTATGGATTATCGATGAGAAAATCAACAATGGCCGGCTGATTGGTACAGGCCGCCAATGATAGTGGCAGCTCACCTGTGTGGCAGACAGTTAATGAATAATGTTTAGGCAAAACCCCCACATTGTCAGAAAAAAAGTACCAGTTTGTACCTTGTCACTGGGGTTATACCATCAAGGGCCAGTTGTACTCTACCTGTAGGAAGATGTACCATTTAATCAAATTTAAGGTACCGGATTCAAATATAAGGCTTGGGACTCTGAGGAACATCTCCAGGGTACAAACATCATTAATGTACCCCTAATGGTACAAAAATGTTCTTCATAGTCAATGTTTGTTCAAAGGTACAAGTACCTAAAGCCAAGGGTACCATTGGCAGACCCTCAAAGGTACAGCCCCACTGACAAGCAAAGGTACTAACTGGTACTCTTTTTTCTGACAGTACAGATGCTCTCATTGTATGTGAAACTCAACAAATCTTATGGATATTTTATACCTCTGATCATCCCTCATCATGGTGCCCCACATACCAAAGTAGAAATTGGGTCCATCATGTGCCTGGAAGAATTTCCCACAGGCTTTGGCATGAACATCAGCTCCTTTTTGCACCAGCAGCTTGGTGAAGAACTCACTCCTTCTCTCTATGGCAACATGAAGTGCAGTTTGCCCTGTAACAGCCGAAGACACGAACAGGCAGGTCTACCGAGGGAAATCCAGTGAAATGTACATTGTGCAATCATGCAATCATACAATTACGACGGGTTTAATGAAATACTAAAGAAGTCATGTTTCAAGCAAAGCTCACCTTTGTAGTAGGTGTCTGTGTATGCTGCATTGACAAATTCATTCAAGTCTCCCATTTTCTCCGCAATGTCAAGAAGAAACTCTATGGTGTCATTTTTGCCATTTTTTAGATTTAGGAGCCCTTTAATAAGGGCATTTTTGCCATGTGACTCATCTAAAGCAAGGAGAATAATCAGAAGCACTGGTAAACAAATGTTTCCAAAGAGTATCGTTTGCAGTTCTTCGCTGCTGTCAAAATTTACACACCTATATTGAATCAAGACATATATTAAATCATTTTAAATTCCAAGAAATAAGGAGAAATGATGACATATAAATTATGCCATTCACTGCCAAAGGAATAGCTGACTCAATGAACAGCAACGCAAGGACCCAGTCCATGTGGGATGACCTTGTTTGTAATATTTTACAGGGAAGACATTTCCAGCAGTGGTATTTTGCACCACTCAAACCATTCATTTAGCAGTACAGCACCCTACACTAAATATTAAATAAACATGTTCCTTATTTAGGAGATGCTAAAGCAGCATGTTCTGCTAACCAGCTATCTAGCTATGATCTTCTGACTCTACTTGCAAGTGGTTTGTTTAAATTTTAAAACATCAGGGCAGCCCCAGAAACAAAAAAACAAAAAAAAAACACCACTGGGAATTCCATGTCCTGTCAGCTTAATTCGGCAGCTGCTGGTCCATTGCAGAACAATGGCCGCTGAAGAGGGCAGAGCTGGAAGCTTGCTTACATTCAGAATTCGTCAGGTGTTTCATTGTGTGCTGCAAGTACTCATGCAGCCCTCGCAGCTTGCTGATGTCCCTGCTTGACACTGCTGCAAATAGGCTGTTGATGCCAAATCTCTGTGCATTTTCCTGATCTCTTATTTCTTCACATCCCCTTATTTTCCTGTAAATAATAGAAAATATCAATTCTGTGGTTTAAAACATCATTGGCAATTAAAATTAGTGAGTAAAACCTAGAAAGGCAAAATTGAAGAGCAATTTTCCAACATTCACTCAGTTCCTGGGATACATTTTCAAAAACATTTATGTCGACTGTATGAGTTTTGGAAATTTTAATGAAATTTCTCGCTTGGGTTAAATGAGAACTGAGTGAGTTTTGGTTCCCAATACTGTGACTTATGATGGGGAAGCCTGAGATCTGGTCATTGGCAGTCTCACACAAAAATGACCTGAGTAAATTTTGGAAATTTGCCCTTCAAGTGTTAACAGGAGTGAGGTGTTCAGGCATAATATAAAAATGCAAGGAGCACACCTGTCAAAGTTCAAATTGAACCGAATTTTGGGTGTGACCACTTCCTCCAGGTAACCTGTATCCATGGGGATCTTCTCCACTCTGCCGCCCTTGAAGGGCCAGCCTTTTGTTTTCACTTTGCACTGTGACCTCTCCTCAGCACTTCGGTCATCCGTCTCCAGGGAAAAGGGCTTCATTTCTAGGATGTTTGTCTGATCCATCCCTCCTCCTCCCTGTGACACTCTGGGGAGGCACAGTCGAAGTATATCACAGACTCCTTGCAACTTGAGTTAGAGACCAGCGTGAATGATTAACAAACGATTCCCATTGACAGATAACACAGAGTGATTATTACTGTTAGCAAAAACAATAGCAAAAACAAAACAATCAGTGAAACTATTTGTACAAAATAACACCAAGATGAATGCTTTTGTGGAGGACAAGTAGATGACCCCTCCACGACTGGGGTTCGAATCCTGGTTCTGCTCTGTGTGAGTGGATTCTGCATGTTCGCTCCCTGGCCTGTGGGTTTCTCCGAGAGCCCATATATGCTGTGAGGCTAATTGATCCCTAAATTGCCCATTAGTGTGTGTAAGTGCCCTGCAACAGACTGGCATGTTATTCATGTGTGTGTGGATCATTAGGTTAAGATGCTGTGCCTGTGATTAGAAGGTTACCAGTGGAGTAAATTCAGCCCTGGGCCCCTAAGCAAGGCCCTTAATTCCGAATTGCTTGAGGGACTGGCTGACTCTGCTTTCTCAGTTGTATGTTGATTAAAAGCTTCGGCAACATAAATGTAATATAAATTCCCTGAGCTACCTGGATAAACTCCAGGGTCTCCCGAAACTTTCACCAAGATAAACAGTTAAAAGATGGCCGAAGCCATCAATACCCCTTCAGGTTATTTAGCTTATTACATTATTTAATTATCTGAGCTGGTGTTAAAATTAAATAAATGCATGGAATGGCTGGGGTGCCCCTGAGGAGAGGTTTGGGAACCAAAGCAGTGTTCTTTGAGCCATCCAACAAGGTATCAGTAACTTTTTGAAGAACAGAATTTCTTGTTTTTTATTGTTTTATTTTTTATTTGCATATATTCAAATGTTACATTCTGTTTTACTTTCAGATCACATGTACACTTTCTAACAAATAAGTTTTCATTGACTGCCTAAAATTTTTGCTCAGTGCTGTCTAACTCCCTGAATTTGTTGAGTCCTACTCACCCACTTTGGCTTCATATATCACTGGCAATCCTGCCAGCAACAAAAACTCTAAGGTTTGTCTGCCAAAGGGAAAGGCCTGACCACATGGGTGTATACAGTTTAGGGTGTGCCATTTTGCCTGAGACCTGTCTGTTTTCCTTAAATTTGTCCTTCTGTCATAATGATGCTGCCATCTGATTCACATGCTCAGTCTTGTGATGTTCTTTTTGCACCAAAGCAATCTGAACAGGGCTTATTAATCTACCAACAGCAGCAGTGGTTTATCAGCAGACCTTTAAATACAAATGGGTTCTGTTTCAGTCAAAACAGGAAAACATAAGCAGTATCTTGATCATTAGATTAAAAAAGAAAACGTGAAAGCAACTAGCAAATGTTTTCTCAATATCTCAAAAAGAAACACTTTTTTTTTTAGAAAAGGAGAAATGGTGAATAAGACAAGGGCAACATCTGCGGCTAGTGGCTATTACTTCACATTTATGCAACCCCAGAAAGGAGAAACCTCATTACTGCTCTTACATTTCCCATAAGCTACTCTGCAGCAGCATTTCCCTTGGTTAGCTCATGTAACACATTTTCCATTTTAGTATCATGCCCTAACACATTTAGTAATTTAGTAAAATTATATGACAAATTTTTGATATCCTTTATCAACACAAAGACAGAGAATGAGAAACCTAATTTGGTTTAAGATTAAGTAAATGTCAGTGCAATACTGATGGCGATGCAGACTGCTAATGGTATTAAATTTTTTAAGCTGTGCATAGCATTCACCCACGTGGCATTTTACTTTCATCAATTATTCATGTATGTTATGATGTAACAGGATCTTATAATGCATGCTTGTGTGGTTAAGGTTCAGCTAACCTACAAAAAAGCTAATTTCCCAGATTTAATTATGACTTTAGTGGACCTCCTTAGGAGAGAGAGACTGCATAACAATGTAGTCTAAGATCTGACACAAGATGCCACATTTCATCATCATTAAACTCAATGTCTTTAGTCATTGCATAGTTCTCAGTATTTGTTAAATCTCTGTCAAATGTTGCAGGACAGGACTGTACAGTGACCGTGAACACAACTGCTGCTAATTTTTTATAATGAGACATTATGTCGATATTGTCATGTGATATTGATTGAGACTACTTTGATTCATAGTGGGATCGTATTACTTACACCAACTATACAATTTTATAAGACAAATAATTTTTAGAAAAAAATATGTAAATAAATTTTCATATATAAAGACAGCTAAACATCACTAACCAGCTTCAGAATCTGACTTGATTTGAAGCTTAGTAAAATGTAATTCTAAGACTGATATTATAATCAATGGTCCTGCACCTTGCTAGCTGAGACAGTACGCATCACGCACTTGAGTGCATTTCTTAGATTAAAAAAGCAGATGTACTTACATTATAATGAGGCAGTATTTTGTTTCTCTGTACCCCAATTCCTGTTGCTCCTAATGATCCATTTTTTGCTGTGCACAGATCAAGTCTGGCATTAAAATCCAAAACAAGCTAAATGGATCACCTTGGGCTGATAGTCGAGACTTGTGGAGAACTCCTACCCTGTGATGGAAGCTGGTGTGTTTACAGAGCACACAAGAATCCTGCCTGAGGTTTCATGGGATGAGCAGGATGACGTAGAGGTAGAGAGGAAGCGGCTCTATCTGCCCTGGGGAGTCTGACCATGCATTACTGCACATTAATGGCACTCTACAATACAGTGGAGTCTCAGGAACAAACACCATACATCTTCCATGTGCGCAGTGCATATTACACCATAACCAGTGACACTGACTGGAAAAAAATCTTTCTCAAACAAATATATCATGAGTGTCTTGTTATCTTTAACTCGATGAATGCACTAATGCAGGGATAGATCCCTTAAGGGGGTAATGGCCTTTCATATTCCAACATTATCCGAGTTGCTAGACTAAAGACTGCATTCAACACAAAATCAGAAGCACCCAAAGCTGTTCAATGCTCATGCGATTTAAATACTTCCAAAGAGAAGCCCCCAGCATGATTAAAAATCACTGGTATTGTGAAAACAGCCCTCCTTACCTCGGGCTCTTTTCCCTGAGAACGGCGCTTTTGGTAATCATGAGATTTTGGTAATCATGAGTTTTTGCAGTTTTGCTTCCCCTTCACTAAGAGGGGGGGCATGTCCGCCGAGATTTCTGCAGAAGGAGGTGCATCATTCACTTCCCAAAATTCAGAGGAGCCACAGAGGCCAGAACATGAGCTGGGACAGGGATGGACCTTTGTGTGCTACCATCCTTCTTGGTAGAGTCCCGGCCACACTCCCATCCTACTTTGTAGGGACCCAGCAACACTCTCTGCATGCATTCTTTGGTCTTTCAAATTACTTTGTGATCACGTTCCCTATTCCTCATCAGACAACATGATGCATTCCATGCCCATTTTCTCAAAAGCTTTCCCCCAATGAAGAGAAAATGGAAATTAATTTGGATCTGACTCAATACTGAAATTAAACTTTACTTCCCGTTTGTACAAATCCTAGGTACATTGGAATGCCTCTTATCGTACATCCCATTTTGCTCTCCACTGAGACACACACACACACACACACACACACACACAGATGAGAATGAAGCTTGGGGTCAGTCATCTTTCCATTGCGTTTTGGGGATTAAGGACTTTGCCCAATGGCCTAATAGCAATTTGACTGGTCTGCAGTACATGGGATTCGAAACAACAACCTTACAATTACATTTATTCATCCACCACTTTCATTCAAAGGGTCACAACTGTTTTTTATGCGTGCACTTTGGGTTTACCGACACAAAGGCCTAACCCACTATAATTATTATTTCTGTTTCACTAATACATGCAAGATCAAGCAAGGGTAATGTGTGATAAGCCATGTATTACAGTTTTGAATCAGATTAGAGAATTCAGTTCTGCGGTATAATCAAGTTTATTTTACCTCTTCATCAATATTTTACAATCGACTAAAGTTTACATGGAGTAAACCCACACAGGAATGTTGACACACAATTCCGGGTAGTGCTGAGGCTGCAGCATGTGGCAATCCGATCATGTGAATAAATTTGATTTCAAGCAGCACAATTTCATGGGGGAGCTGTGTTACTCCATGTTAAGCAGTATGCATCACATCATATCACATTAGGACACCATAATGTCAGGGAGATTAACAACAGCAAGGCCCCATGATAAGCACACATGGCAGACAAAACATGAGCCACACTTAGCATCATTTTCACAAGGAAAAAGGAGTATGTGCAATTATCACCAGCAGGACTTTAGATAACGGGCGAAACATTTGTCCAGACAGCTTTTCAGTACTACAACCACAGTAGTACGCCTAAAATCCGTATACATTCAGCATATCCTTATGTTTAATAAATTTGTGGGACTTTAAACTGTAAAAAGTACCTCCACAACACTGATGTCTTTTTTGCCTTGTTTATTTATTTATTTGTCATTGTTGACACACCACAGCACAACAACGAAATGTGTCCTCTGCATTTAACCCATATGTGACTTTCATGACATAGCAGAGGGCAGCTAATTCAGCGCCCGGGGAGCAGTGCTTGGGGACGGTACCTTGCTCAGGGTATCTCAGTGGTGTCTTCCTGGTCGGGGATTTGAACCTGCAATCTTCCGATTACGAGTGCGCTTCCCTAACCATTAAGCCACCACTGCCACCACAATATATCCACAATATTTCCGCTTTCAAAAGATATTTGGCTGCTGAGCTGTCACCTCAGTGCTTATGACTTCCATGATATACCAAAACAGTAGTATGTGGAGCTCCACTAACCAAATTTAATAAATATGAGGATACCCTGAATTTATAGAGATTGCTAAGTTTTGGGTGTCACAAAACATTAATATTTTCTAGTAATCTGCTTACTAAATTGTGGGTGTATGTAAATGTATAGTACAGAAAAGCTGCCGTTTGAACTAATCCTCCTGTCATCTAAAATCCTGTTGATTATCACACATGCACAATATAATCGTGAGTATATTGCGATGTGATATCTTGCAGCCAACCGCATATTTTACTAATTTTATTTAAAGGATTCATTAAGCCCTGTATTATCCTGTAATGCTACATAGTCTTGAAATTTAAATAGTGTACAGATTACCTGTAAACGAACCATCATCTTGGGCAATTTCACCAGAATTACCACCCAGATGTCATTTCTGAAAGCATATTACTGATCAACCCTTGATAGTAGGCTCATCAGACAGTGACCATTCCAGAACATGTGCATTATTTTGGTCTGAATGGTCAATCACATTCTGTCACTCAAAATCATGGCGACGCCAACAGCGGAGTCTGCATCTTCACTGTACTGTACAGGAAATGGGAAAGCCCTCTCTGCCTCCTGTCTGAGCACCTCGTTACGGATGAGAGCACTGCCACTACCCACAATCCTCTTCACCCCCGACTCCAGCAGAAGCTGGGGGGGCAGCATTGCGACTATGTTCTCCACAATCCCCTGGCACAGTGCCCGGGTCAGGTGACCCAGAGAGACGTTGGAGGCCGAGATGTTGGACACCAGGCCTAAGCAGCTGGTATCGTGCCTTTCGCCCAGAATGGTTGGCCTCACCTTCAGGTCACTGCTGTTCTGGTTTAAACCGGCTTCAATCATTTGTGAGTAAATAGAAGAGCTGCTTATTTCCACTCCTAGGCATAAAAAAAAAAATTGAAACATCATTCAAACCAAAAGCCACCATGTTACACTGTGTTCCAAAGATATGTCTAATCAAGCTGTCCATATATGAAATGAGGACTGTTAACCGCTAACAGGTCACTATTACTTCATATACATTATACATTACTCCTCACTGCTCATCATACATCATCATACCGTAAATTGTTTTATGTAAATATAGAAAGTACAGTTACAGATATCAGTGGTTTTCATTTCTATTACACACATTGTTTTTATTTTATTTGTATTGTTATTTTAATCTTATTTTCTTTGTATATTATTCTTCCTTGTATCACATATTTCCTATAGAGCACACAGCAGGACAGGGAAAAGCATCCTTTGTCACATGCATGTTGGTGCATGTGACAAAAAACCACTTGCATTATGGTTTACAGGAGCTGCATCTACCCTGACAGGCTACCAATTTCACATTCCCTCACCAAGTTCCTTCATCCATGCCGTTAGCATATCCACAAAGGTAGCCACTGCATTTCCTCCATTGAGGGACGCTGCTACCACCAGGAAAACACCATCGAAATAAGGGAAGTAGGAGACCAGAGAGCTGGGATCGGGAACATGCGGGGGCCGGAATTCTGCTGGCATAGCGAAGCTTAGCTGGGCCGAAGTGCTAATATTCAGTACTGGGGTGGGGCGGGAGAGAGAGAGGCATAAGTAAGGTTTCAACAACGATCAAGAAAGGGTCAGCGAGGGGTCCGCAGCTTTTGGAACCTTCACCTGCATCTGTCCTGTCCACCATGCAGGAATAAACGGCACATTGGAAATCTCCCAGGGCCGCCCCGACGGGGGTTCCTACAGGGATCCCGTGCCATTTGGAGCAGGTAAATCCTGCACGGGATCCAGGGGCCACAGGCTCTGGCAGTAGCTCCATGGGGAAGCCAGCGCTGCTCAGACTAGACCACATGCACACACACACTTTTTATTGCCTGTGTCTTAATGTTCATGTCTTAAAATGCCATGTGCATATTATAGTTACATGTCTCTCTTTCTCTCTGTATGTGTGTGTGTGCCCTTTGAAATATGAATTTCATGTATTACTTTCTCATTTGCAGTATGTACAACAAGAATATTTCTCCTCAGTGCATGACTCCATGCATCATATACCTGATGTTCGCAATAAAAAAATATTTTTCCTTTGGCACACACACATACACACATACAGACACACACACACACCTAGCTTCAGCATGCTACTCTGAATGCAACAAAAGAACCGTGCACAACATGCAAATGGTAAGAAAAATTAGGGCAATCCTTGTGAAAACAGTTAAATTCCTCAAGGCGCTTCGACACACAGGTCTACACGTCAAGCAGCCAAGGTCAAACACTCTTACAAGAAATGACATGTTCAAGTTACATGTCCAAGTTCCACTGGTTAGTGCTGGTGTTGAAGTATCCCCAGCTAGCAGCGTTTTGGGTGGACATCAAGCATCTGTCCAAGCCACACAGCATAGTTACCACGTAATCATGGATGGTCCCTGCTGAGGTAAATTCAGCCAAAAACTCCAGCCTGCAATGCAAAGATAGAAGCGACAGAAATATCAGAATTAAAATAGCCCAAATCCTTAATACAAAAATGCATATATTTCACAGGCATTAAAATGGCAAAAATACCTATTTTAAACCACTGTAAGATAAACAACTCATATAATAATATTGCCTATTGTAACATATTTGCTTGTGTGTAAACATAGCTGTTCCAAACCTGTTTTGGAGATACCAGAAGATGGTAGCGCACCCAAAGCCTGTGGCCACACTAAGGTGTGAGTCTGGCTTTGGAAGTGAGGACAGGAAGTCGCTGCTACACCGACCATCCTGCCAAGTAATCAGCTGACTCACATCTTTGGTCCTGAACATGTGACCATCATCTCCTTGGTCCCAACAGCAAGCTGATAGCCATGGAGGCAACAGCAGGAGACAGGTTTGCACTGCTGACACATACCAATTTCCCTCTCTATAGGGCACAGTTTAGCTAAAAATGCTATAGTTAATGACAACATATTACCCACAGAGAGATGCTAGATGGCTACGATGAAATGTCCCACTCATACTGAATGGTCATTCTTAAGTTATTACATTTTAAAAGGTGGAAACGATATTAGTTTTATTTACCATGAAATCACAAATAAATGGTTAGTTATAAGTCGTTGCACCATTTTAGTTTGAGGGGGACATTTAATCATGTTACAACAGAAGCAAAAAGGACATCTTAAGCCATTTCTCAGTGAAGGGCCAACTCTAAGGACAATGATAATCCTGACATTCTTCAATTCCTTTTTTCTTTTTATAATTTTATCTTACAAGGTAGAGTGTGGTGAGTGAGTAACGAAAACCATGAAACATTATAAAATTCATTAACCTAATTGCTTATATTGACTGATGCCATAATGATGTCATTTCCTGGAGGCTCCTGTCTTAAGGGAATGGACTGTTATTATTTAATGGGACATTACAGTAGAAGAACAAGGTGGAAGGTGATCCTGAGGACAAAGAAACATGAAATCCAGGGACCTATTACTGATCTGATATATTTAAAGGTTTCTACCTGTTTTTGTCTTCCAAAACATCACCCCATGCATTTGTCCAGACACCCCAACTCTGGTGACATTTCGGAGTTTGTCTCTGGGCAATGAAGTCATGCACTGATTTAGAGTATCTATGATTTTCCCAGGATCCTGTTCCATGACCTGCGAGTACAGTTGACAAAACATTATTTTTTTCCTTTCTAAAACAATCCCCAGTAAATGATCTTTCAGTTCTACAAATGAAGTCAATTGTTACAAATGAATATCAAACCATGTATTAACGATAAATAATATTTATCATTTCAGCCCCTTAAACATAAAACGTTTATTAATGGCATACTTTTCCGTCACGGTTGCTGGTGTCAGCGGTTGTGGGCAGGCTGCAAGCGTCTGTCACTTTCCTTAAGTGACTATCGAGCAGCACCACCTTGACTGAAGTTGTCCCCATGTCTATACCGAGGATATACTTAGTAGGTGTAGGAGACGATGCCATGATGTTCTAGCACTCACAGATTATATAGCACAAAATGCAATTATGGCAAACGGCTTTCTGCATTTAACGATAAATCTACACCGGTTATACGGGAAATTACAACAATTTACAAGTTAACGGAAGAGAAGAAGCAACTAAATTGCACAGCAAAATACCTCTTACTTATCACTTATGTATAGATTATGTACAGCTGAACATTTCATATATTTTTTTATCATGACCAGCTGCTCGGAGTGACCAGGGTTACAACCTAGATAGCTGACTAATCATTTCGTTATCAGCTCGATGAACAATGCTTTACCAGCCCGTCTGCATGTATTATAATTATGTTTCGTATTCTTGATCACTAGCTTTATTAAAACTATAATCGTCCCTGTGTCCCGTATCCCTTTTCATAGTTAATTCGCTTTTTTGTAAATATCTATTTTGCCCTTCCGAGTTACCGTATTTTACGGGTCAAAGGTTACAATTATGCGCATTCCGTAAATTACTATCTATACTAATATTAATGGATTCTAAAACTAATTATTAAATATATTGTACATATCTGGAATGTCAAAGTTTAAAATGATATATGTTTTATGAAAGGTATCTGATTTTTTTTGTTCCCATGATGCACCGCAAAAAGAGCAACGTCTGAATCCGTGTGACGGGGGTTGCAGTTTTAACGTGGTCGAGCTGTGGGTTTTTTTTTTAATCATCTGGCGGTGAGCAGACTGTGTGTCACTTGGACGCTTTCGACGACCCAAAGGATACTGACTCCTTCATGCGAACAATGTGGGTGTGATTGATTGCGAAAAATAAAAGAGCTTCTTGTAGTCATTTGGCCTATTCAGACGGTAAGGCGTTAGCCGTCCAGCTAACACGTACCTCAGCATCATCCTTTTATGCAGATCACGTGTTTATTTACGCTTTGGGGTGGTTTACGTTTTGTAGTCAGTGTTTTATAAATGTTTCGCTTTCTCGTTTAGAGCGGTCCCCAGACATTATAGTGGAAGACATGACGGGGCTGGCAGCCAAAAGAGAGGGCCCGCAGTTCATCAGCGAGGTGGCCGTGCGAGGTAACGCAGCGGTGCTGGACTACTGCAGGACGTCAGTGTCCGCCCTGTCCGGAGCCACCGCCGGGATTCTGGGCCTCACTGGCCTCTATGGCTTCGTCTTCTACTTTCTCGCCTCGTTTCTGCTCTCCCTGCTGCTCATACTGAAGGCCGGTCGCCGGTGGAATAAGTGCTTCAAGTCCCGAAGGCTGCTGTTCACGGGGGGCTTGGTCGGGGGTCTCTTCACCTACGTGTTGTTCTGGACCTTTTTGTACGGCATGGTGCATGTATACTGACTGAGTCATGATGTACCATAGCCCCGACGTTAAAACTGCAGGACTCCGCTTCAGTGTACCACTTGTAGGGTGTTAGTGCATCAGATGTTTTACTAGTCACAGGTAGCCTCCAACAGAACACTTCCAGCGTTTTTCATTTTGTTTTTCAGAACTTTTACCCATATATTTAAAACTATCCATAGCGATAATTAACGACAAATCCCCTTGCCAGTGATTATATGATCCCTAACTCGACAGTTTTCATGGTTTTTACCGTGGGGTATACACATAACATGTTAGTGGATTAAAGGGTCTTAATACTGCTGAGGTGGCCTGCAACATAAGTTCTTGTTAATAAGGGATGTCAGTAATAATTTGTAGATTTTACAATTGTCTACACACTGCACGGTTGAAATGCTAAAATAGTCAGAGATAAAGTTCCTTGCTGAAATATCAGTATCTCAAAATAGTTTTTTTCTGTTTTGTGTAAAGGTGTGTGCTGTTTGTCTGACAGATTTAATGATGAAATGTCATTTTTCCTGATTAAAATATATGTGTAATATTTCCTTTTAACTCTACATCTTCCTACTAAGAGAAATGTTAAACAGGAGCTAAAGGTATTAATACAAGCAATGGTGGAGTTACTTGGATATGTAATATTGGTGAATTTGCAACACACAATGCTTTCATTTTGTTTTCTTTTAGTAGCAACAAAAACACAACACACTTTATCAAATGCTGTTTCAGTTAGGATTCATTCCCACCTGATATTTAATAATAATAAGAAATACTTTATTGATCCTTGTGGGGAAATTCTCTTTACACCTCCCCCAACTTACTCTCTGTAGGTGAGAGCAAGCTGGCTGCGAAGGGCAGCCACCCACAGCAGCAACCAGGGAGCTGGGGGTTAAGGGCCTTGCTCAAGGGCCGCAGATGTGCCGAGGCCATTTCAAATGGTTTATATGGCTGGGTGGAAGTGCAAGCAAGGGAATCTCCATCCATCTTCTGTATCTGCTTGTCCTAGGGAGGGTTGTGGGGGGTCTGGAGCTTATCCCGGAAGCTACAGGTGCAAGGTAGTGAATAATCTAGGATGGGGCACCAAACCATCACAGGACCCACTTATACCTGCACACCTACGGATAATTTGGTAACTCCAATTCACTTGAGCATGTTTTTGGACTATGGGTAGAAACTGGAGTACCTGGAGGAAACTCCATGATAACACAGGGAGAGCATGCAAACTCCACACACAAGGAGCCATGGCAGAGACTCGAACCCTGGCCCCAGACGTGTGAGGCAACACTGCCAGTCAGGGAATATTAAAGAAGAAAATTGAGAAACTGTGGTCCAGACTTGTTACAAAATTTTAATCTTGAATTTATCTAATAACCAATACACTGTTTCCTCAAGCACACCATGAATTGTGTGGCTTTTATGGAAGTACCTTTTTTGTGCAATGGTTCTCACTATACATTAGCTATTTATGTAATGGAGCATGGATTCATTTCAGCTATTTAAGATTCTGACAACTACATAGTCTGTGAGAATCAAAAGACAAACTTTTTGTTTGGTAAGATCTTTTTTATTACAGCAATTCAAGTCACAAATATAACACAACTTGTCAGTATATGTACATAATAAAATTTCAAATTCATTTAAAGATTATTTTGCTACCAACTAGCAAAATAATCTTCAGACATCCATTTAACTTTGTTGTCTGAAGAGTCACCTCCTGACAACCTTTTAACTTTGACTGGAATCATTTGCATTCTGAGTGCAAGCTAACACTGGACAGTAACAGTAGAGCCACAGAGTATTAATGAATAGGAAGAGGTTGCTCATCCAGGAATTTAAACACAGCAATACACTTCACCCATGGAAATGTGTAATCACCTTGGGTCTAGCATTGTATTGTAAAAAAAAATAACACTGACATTTCACAGCCGAACTGGCCTGAATAACAGACATTCTGTTGGTCTGTTCTATGTGACATAACAACTTTACAAAAGACAAAGTTCAGCATAAAAATTTACATTAAAACATTTTTCTTTAAAATAGATAAGGTGCTATTCTTTTGGACTCATATTTTCAGAGCACATTCAGCATCCATGATGAGTAACTCAAATTGCTGAGGAGGAGTCTGTGACATTGTGTCCCATAGGGTTTTTTCCTGTAAATGGCTCCATTTTCCTGGTGGAAGCAAAAAGGGAACCTCCAACCTGATTCATCCTGCCCGGTGATATCACAGGATTCAAAACTCAGTTCATTTCCAGCACGACTTCCCTTGCCAAGTTCTTTTTATTTGTATGGTTCCTACAAAAAAAGCATAGCTCCATATATATCATGCATTTCATCTTCATTTAAAATTGTTGACCGTGAGTCATTTCAGCACTATTTGTGATCATTAAAGACATCGCTGAAGTATTCTCAGTATGGTGTGATATTTCAGCTAGCTGCAGAAAATAGCATAATGCCTTCCAATGTTTTTAGCAGCGTATTTTAAAAAAGAGAATCTGATCTATGTTTGAAAACACCTCTGATTTTTACTTCTGTTTTTTTCTGCAGGGACACTTTTCCCATCTTTTTATTTCAAATGGACACAACACAGTTATTAATGTTTTGCGAGATCTCGCAAATGTTTATCTTTTTTTCCCCTCCCATGTGCGCTTCTGGGCTCCGTAACTTTGTAACAGGCTAAAAAAATATTAAACCCCATATCTGATTCAATTACATTTAAATAAAACGGATAAATCAAAGGTCAATACCATTTAGGAGAGTCATACTGCATAACGGATTCAAATTTTCTCTCTCTGTATAATGTGCTCTTCTTCATCATATATAACAGCACCAAGTCACAGATGAAAACTCCCTGAAATAATACCAAGCACTCATTTCAGAATTTTTGTAATGCAGAATCAAATACAGTGGTACCTCAGAACTCGAATTTAATCCGTTCAGAACTCCGGATCGAATCCTAAAAAGTTCGAGTTGTGATCGAATTTTCCCCATAAGAAATGGAAAACCAATTAATTGGTTCCCGGCCCCCAAAAATTACACCTAAATCTGTTTTTTTTAAGCATTTAAGCACAAAATGAACCGGATAAAACAAGAAGAGCATATACTGTACTAAACACATCTAAGCACATTTATCAAAACAGTAATTTGTAAAGTAAGAAAATAAATGTATCCAAACAATGTGTAAAGTTTAAAAAAAACAATGTGTCCTGCCCCGATTGTCCGCTCCTTCCGCATGCCACGCCCCCTCGTTAACCCCGTGTGGAATCCCCATGTGATCAGATGTTTCTGACTGTTGTCATTAGTCCTCTGTATTTAGTCCGCGTTTCAGTTTGTTTCCACAGTTCTGTCATTGTATTGTCCGTCTGCGTTTTGCCTGCCTTACCTGTAATTAAACCCCGTATTCCCCGATAGCCTGACGTCTGCGCCTTTGTCTTAGTTCCGTCCTGCTCAGCACAACAATATTATTATAATTAAATGTATTAATGGTTTATTATTAATATTAAAATAATTAATAAGAACTCTTTATTTTTAAATGTATTGCATTATATTATAATAATTACTGTTACTGTCTATCATTGTCTACATGTATTTTTACTGTCTAAATAATTGTATTCAGCTAGTGTAAACATGCACGATGCTACCACAGCGAATGCGAGACTGAGACTGAAGCTTTACCCTTTGTTTCCGCTGAGAGACATGCCGCGTGACTCATTTCCCCACGTGTACAAGTTCTTAGGTCAGTGTTCACGGTTTGACTTCTGAGATTCAGATCGAGTTCTAGGTAGTTCTGGCTGGTTCGACTTTTAAGAAATTGGAGTTCTAATAAGTTCGAGAACTGAGGTACCACTGTATCACCACTCATCACATTTTCCATATAAAATTTACTGTTAATTAAAAACAACCAGCAAGTGTTTTACTCTTCCTTCAAACTGCATTCTCTTAGCGCAACCTGTTGAGGTTGCTGAAAAACATCCAGAAAAGCCTTGTGTTTTTGTACTCACTGCACCCATCACAGCCAATCCAGAGCCGATATTAACTACAGTGGGGATTATATTAAACTTTCCAGCCTGAAATGTCAGCAAACAAAAATTACTTTTACTTTCGGTTTATATGGGAAAAAAGTTAGATTTACACCAAGGTTAAATATTTCAAGGGTTTACATACCTCTCCATTAACTATGATGTCAAATCGAATCCCACACACTTTATAGAGGGTACGATAAGTCTGTCCTGCCTCGTCGTTGTAATAATGAGCATACCTGGAAAGCCAAGAAAACAAACACAATTTTCTATGCATATTTTTGTAAAACCTATTCATCCCAGGTTAGTACAGGGCACAAGGCCAGGGATGTGCTGGAGTCAAGGCTGCATTTTTGCATTTGCATATTCAGATATTTTCAAATGTTATTCATGCCATGATAAGTGTTTGCTATTGTAAGTTATTTAACAGTTTTTAAGTTATTTTATAGTAAAGGAATTTCATGTTATCCCCAATTTTTATATAGCCAGTAACCAGATTATTTATTTGTATGTGTGAAACTTTATCAAATGTTCCACTGATTGTGTGATACATCCAGCAGGGTGTCTGTGTGCTTGGGATGCCTGAAGTTATAGCCAGTTGTGATGGAGTTGACTGAGTGGTCTAGCCGAGTGAAGCTGTACTCCGGATTACATATGTCTTTATCAAGATCACAGTTCCATTCAATCATAATTGCGATTGACCCCCCCTGAACAAAAGAAATTCAGTAAGTGAAGGTTGTAAGTCACCCAGGCATACAAGGTTCCAGTGGCACCTTGCTCAAACAATGGAAAAATCATATACCCATCGACAAATGTATTAACACTTGAGGAAATGCTGTATAATCCTGCAAATGTTATCTGAGTGAATATTTCATTTTGATAAATTGATCTTGCCTTCACAGCCATCCTGTTAAAATCATTTCCCGACCATGCAACAATATCTCCTAGCCGGAAGATGGGGCAGTACGGGTTGGCGATCTTGTCGTAGAAACAGCTCTTCAAGTAAGTTTCATTTTTTGTATCCAAGACATTTGATCTGTAAAATAAACAGATGTAAAATTAGAAAAAAAAACAGACAATGGTCCTCTGTCTTACGGCTGGGTCTATCTTTACTGACCAGTGATCAAATAATCAACTTATATACATAATAAGAAATCACTTCCTAATTTAAAGCGACTTTTGAAAAACAAACAAAAAAAAAACTATTCTTTTTAGAACTGGACCCTTGAGAAAGGCCCTTAACCCCCAGTTAGCCAGGACAGTGGTCAATTTCTGCTGTGCCAGGATCGCTCTGTTTTTGTGTTTGTGTTCTGGTGTTATGCATTATGCAGTCATCCTGTTAACTAGTGATAAGTGCGTTCACATGCCAGTGTTTAAGTATCCTTGCAGATGTGTGGTGATGGCAGATTTGTCAATTTTGGAAAAGTGAAATAAAACTGTACATAGTCAGAATTGATCATGCACATACTTTAGGTTACTTAAAATATATATTTAAGAACAATCTTTTTTAATCAGGGATTCAATTTTATATTCATAGACTGTTACATCACCTTTACAACTGCATGCATGTTTGTCATATTTTACAAATACGCAGGACAAGTTGTTTTCTTCATTAGCGTGTGTCTTTTATTTATTTTGATTGGCTCTCCTAACTTGACAAATCTGCTTCTGGCTTCTGTAAAAATAAGTGAATGCATGTCACATAACCAAGTTTTTCACCAGTTAACACAATCACCACTTAAACCATGACACTGGCACCTATGTGTGTGGATCTGGCTGCTCTCTGGTTAAAAAAACAATAACATCATAAAATAAAATGAAATGAAATAAAATAAGTATGTATTTTAATTTACAGACCAATTTTCATGCAATTTAAAACTATATGGCCCCCTCCAGCCCTACACCTGACTGGTGCATTACAAGTTATCAGGAAGGGTTTAATTGACGAACAAGCAGGCTGGTTTGGTGTGACAAATTTGTAAAGCAATTAAAACTATCCATATTCTTCATTTCTTATGACCTAAAATATGACCAGAGTTCTAACAATAATGAAGGAGACTCTGTTTTAAGATACACTACAGCATAACATTGCTGTCCAATGAACACCACATATGATTCTTCTTGGACAGTAATGATATTCTATTGGAAAAAAGTAAGTGAACCTAGGACTGTGCGATATGGCATAAAATTCATATTGCGGTATAATTTGATCCATAGACGGTAGACGGTATATATTGCGGTATATGATTTGATCT